GTGGGTGGGGGGAGGGGAGTTCGGAATCCTGGCTGCCCTCCTTCCGGCACCCATACTCTTTTCTGCCCCTCTCTGCCCCTCTCCCCTGCCTGCATTGTTTCTTCATCCTTAGGCCTCTTTTCAGCACCTCCTTTAAATCCAGGGTATCCTTGATCCAGAAGGGTATACAGCACTCTGTTGCCCTCCCCTCCTCATCTCCCTGATACCGCAACCTCTGCTTCCCTCTTTGACTCAGGCAGCCTGACTTATGGGATCTTAACATGGAGGAAATGTGCAACTCTTTTTTTTTTTTTAATTTTTAATTTTTTACAAACATATATTTTTATCCCCAGGGGTACAGGTCTGTGAATTGTCAGGTTTACACACTTCACAGCACTCACCATAGCACATACCCTCCCCAATGTCCATAACCCCACCCCCCTCTCCCAACCCCCCTTCCCCCAGCAGTTTGTTTTGTGAGATTAAGAGTCACTTATGAGTTGTCTCCCTCCCAATCCCATCTTGTTTCATTTATTCTTCTCCTACCCCCTTAACCCCCCCCCCCATGTTGCATCTTCACTTCCTCATATCAGGGAGATCATATGATAGTTGTCTTTCTCTGATTGACTTATTTCACTAAGCATAATACCCTCTGGTTCCATCCATGTCGTCGCAAATGGCAAGATTTCTTTTCTTTTGATGGCTACATAGTATTCCATTGTGTATATATACCACATCTTCTTTATCCATTCGTCTGTGGATGGACATCTAGGTTCTTTCCATAGTTTGGCTATTGTGGGCATTGTTGCTATAAACATTGGGGTGCACATGCCCCTTCGGATCACTACGTTTGTATCTTTAGGGTAAATACCCAGTAGTGTGATTGCTGGGTCATAGGGTAGTTCTATTTTCAACATTTTGAGGAACCTCCATGCTGTTTTCCAGAGTGGTTGCACCAGCTTGCATTCCCACCAGCAGTGTAGGAGGGTTTCCCTTTCTCCGCATCCTCGCCAGCATCTGTCGAAATGTGCAACTCTTGATTTCTAGGGAGAACGGCTGATCCAAACAGTGGACTGGTTCAGAGCCGGGAAGTAAACACTAGCTGTCATAGATGCCAGAGCAAGGCAAGGTGAACGCCACCAGGATTCCCAGGGAGCTGAGCATGCTTCCCCCAGATCTGAGCTGAGTGTCCACAGAGGAGGAGGTCACCAGGCTGACGGGTGGGAGAGGATAGAGGGTGTCCCAATCCCATGCATGAGTGAGGGGCTGCACTGAGGGACCAGGGGAGGGGGGTTTGCTGCTCTGTGGCCCAGGGGAGATAAGGGCCCAACACCTCTCAGTAGCAATTAGGACTGCCCCACCAGTGGACCGGTTTCATGCTGGCTTTGGTCTGTGAACTCACCAGATAAATAGATCAGCCTCTTTATTGATGTTTTTTTCTGTTGGAAACTTTAAGTTCCAAACAGCTTCTACCCACCCCCACCCCCGCCAAGGGCAGGTCTGGGTTTCCACTCTTCTCTGTATGGGGGATCAGCTTTCATAGCTTCCCCCCCGCCTCACTACTAACCCTTTTTTCCTTTTTGAAGTCCATGAACCAGGGATTCCCGTCTTTAGAGCTATTTAAGCAGAAATGTCCTGGCAAGAGCAGCACAGAAGGGATTCCTGCCCCAGAAGGAGGTCATTGGGGGGGGGGGGGGGGGGGGGGGGGGCGGATCGTGGCCAGTGAAGAGAGTCTGTGCCTGCAGCCTCCAGGCCCCCATCTGAACTGTGTGTGGTCTTCCTGGGGCCACTGCAGGCGGCAGCCGGACCATCCCCACACAGGTGCCCCAGGGAAGGATTTCCTGTTTTGGATGAGCCTCCAAGCCTACCAGGGCCACAGGTTTCTAGAAGGCCCTCATACGGCTTTTCCAAGCACAGCTGTGGGGCTGGCAGTCTGGGCACCTAGCTAGACGCAGATGAGGCAGCTGGGGGTCTGGATTGCTCACACTCTAGCCCCTCAGCAGACGTGGCTCCTAGTAGGGGGAGTTGGAGGCATCAAGAAAGCCCCAACAAGCAACGCACACCTGCAGACCAGAGAGATGAGGCCTCGAGGCTAGGCTTCTGAATCTGTCTGTTGCTCAGACTTATTTGGAGGTTGTAGCTGGTGAGACACACCCGCCATTGTCTCGTGACAGACTGTAGTTAGAGGACCGTGAGCGGTGTGATGATGAAACGCTGTCCTGGGCATGGACTTCACACAGCCTTGAGCTTGAACTTGACTGCAGGAGCTCAGGCAAATTCTTCACCTCTGGAAGCCTCCTGTTTCCTTGCTTGTGAAACCACGTGTTTCCAGAAGCTGGACCTGAAGGCCGGGAAGCAGGAGCTGCCATATCATGGGTAATCAAGTCTGATGAACGCACGAACCTGGGTGCCGGGCTCGGAACTGGTACCTGTCCAGTAAGGGGCACCCCTACATGGTGGGGATGGGGGGCAGTGAAAGAGGTCTGACCCCTGTCTTTTGACCTGGGACCCTCAGGAAAGCAGAGGCCTCTCCTCTCATCTACAGAATTTGTGCCTGAACCAAGACTGCAGGGCACTGGGTTGTTTACCGTGGGATTTTGCCGGTGTAGAAAGGAACTATTCTCCATAATGCTCAAAAACCCAGTGACTTTCATCTGTGGAACGTGGTGATTTTGCAAACTCCGATGAGTTCCCAGAACGCCTTCGTGAGCTCGGCCGCTGATGGCTTTATGGGTGAGGAAGAGAGCAGGCAAGGTAACCTGCCCCACAGCTCGGGGTGGTGGTGGAGCGGTGACCCCTCCCTGGACGCTGGAGAGTGAGCGTGTGTCTCTGCCCTGTCCTGGTTGCAGTTGGACGGTATCTGCTTTCTTGTCCTGCCTTCGCTCAAGCAGCGGTTGATGCGGTGGCCAGGAACTGTATGGGCTCTGCTTTCGCTGACTGACAGGATATGGGGCCCAGGAGGGAGGGGGCAAGATAAGTCATTGGTTCGGGGACAGTTTGTGACAGGCCGCTTCCTCAGAGTTATGCAAAGAATCACCGTGTTCTTTATGTTACTACCTGTCACTGGCTGACTTGGGCCTAGAGTGCTTGGTGGCAGTCCCAGCAAAGTCAGGTCATGGCCAGTCCCCAGTGGGCAATGTGGACCTGGCTCTGGCAAGAGTCCTCACTTAGACGCTTGATGTGTGGATTCCAGACTTGGCTGTTTAAATATGGCCAGAGGAGGACACCTGGGTGGCTCAGTTAGTTAAGCGACTGCATTTGGCTCAGGTCATGATCCTGGAGTTCTGGGATCGAGTCCCACATTAGGCTCCCTACTCAGCAGGGAATCTGCTTCTCCCTCTGACCCTCTCCCTTCTACGTTCTCTCTCTCTCTCTCTTTCTCAAATAAATAAATCTTTAAAAAAATAAAATAAATATGACCAGAAGAATCCTAAGAGCCATGCTTCCAAAATGATCAGTAAGAAGGAATTGCATGGAGAAAGGTGTTCGATTTTTACTTACCCGCTTTCTCTCCTCGCCCCCTGCCCCTACTCTAGCCCCAGTATCTGGTTCCTGGGCTGTGTAAGGGTTTGGGAAATCCATGCCAGACCTCCAGGAAAAGCGGGCCACTGTTTTGTGATGTTTCTTATCTCAAAGGCCAAAAGGAAAGCCCTGAGCATGATTGTTCTACCTGTGCCTAGTTAAGTTTCTCCCCTGAGAATCAAGGCCTTCTGTGTCTGCACCTGAGTGGAAAGGGGAAGGGGCCCTCACAACCTGCATGCAAGAGTGGGTGCTGGTGGAGCAGTACCAGCACCCACCTCTGCCTCTTTCCTGTGCTGACTTGATTCAGCTGTCTTCCAGGCTAACCTATAGGTGGCTCGGCCTGTGTGTGGCCACCGGGGTATCTTTCTACATTTCAGTTTTAGGAAGTCATTTTAATTTAGTGCATGCTGATTGTGTAAATCCCAAGAGGTTCCTTCTTTATTAGAACTTTGCTGCTCTTTCCAGAAACCTCCAGTACTGCAATGGGAGGGCACAGAAAGTCCTCTGCTGGTAGGGGCATCTTCATGGGCATGCAGCCTGTGTCTTCTGACGGAGTCCCTATGCTCACATGCTGTGCAGTTGCAGTCTTGAAATTCCTAATGGTTTTTACCCTTGAATTTGTGTTTCAAAAGTGAAGTCCAGTGGGACAGTAGAGAGTGTCCTGGGGACTTGGAGCCTCGGCTGCCACCTCCCTGCCTCCCCTGAGTGGGTTCTCACCCCTGCCACATTCTGCCCCTGGCAGAGCCAGGACACAAGAAAAGTTGGTGTTAGCTCCATAGCCTGTTCGGTGAGTGACTAGACAGGGACAAGGCTGTCCCCTGCCCCTGATCTAGATACCCGATGCGTCCAGACACAGACCTTGTAATACCCTTGGGGGTCAGTTGTTCGCCTCGGTTGGAGTCCCTGGGAAGAAGAAAGTCCTGTCCAGATGGCCCTGCCCTGGCTGGGTCACAACACATCATCCAGCTGCTGGTGGGAAGGGAAACCAGCTATGGGGGGTTACCTGTGCATGTACACACTTGTCCCTGGGGGCCCTGGGCACCTGTGAGGTTCGCGGCTCAGCCTGCCAGGATCCTTACACCTGAAAGAGAAAGAGATGATGGACACAGCGAAACCACCTTCATGACATGCACAGCAGCCTGAATTACTTAATGCTACCGAACTGTACACGTAAAAATGGTGGACAACAGTAGATCTTATGTGTGTTTCATTACAATAAGAAAGAATTACACAGTGTTTAAAAAAAAAAAAAACACTAGAACAGGTAGAGACCATGGAAGGAAGGAAAAAAATAATATATTGAGTACCTTTAATGGCACACTTTTTTTTGCTGCTTTTTGAATAGGGGTCCAACATTTTCCTTTTGCAGTGAGCCCCCCAAGTTATGTGGCCAGGCCTGCCTTTTGGCCACTCTGTAGAACTGTCTGGTCTTTTCTTTTCAAGGGCCCAGCCCTCAAGTCCTGAAAGCCTCTTACCTTTCCTCTCTTCTCCCCACGCAGGTCTCCTGTTGGCTGTGTGCCAGGCCCTGGAGAACAGCACGTCTGCCCTGAGTGGTGAGTCCTGTCCCCTCTGGGGGATGGTGCGGGAGTACTGGATGGGAACAGACCTGGCTGGCAGGTGGAGCCTGCCCTCCAAGCTTCCTGTGGGCTCCTGCCCTTTCTGCTCTTGCAGGGCTGTCCCCTGCCCCGTAGGTGCCCTTCACGCCAGGGGCCCGGTTGCACTCCTCAGGGGTCTTCGTTGCAGGAGCCGGGGTACAGGGGACTGTCCACCTCCCCTAAGGCTTGCCATCTCCCAGCTCTGTTCAGATAGTCCTTGTGGGCAGGGGTGCTGGAGAGCTCCAGACCAGCCCGAGTGTTCAAGCTCACTTAGTAGTAGATCTATAGAGGAGCCCAGATTCCTAAAGCCTGTGTCTGCTTCTGCTTGGTGATCTTTGTTTTGTTATTTTATGTCGGATTTTTTGACATTTCTGGTAATATTTCCCTTATTTGGAAGATCCTAGATCAACATATTGGGAGGTTTGGGAAATGCAGAAGGCAGACATCTCCTGGTCAGAGTACTGCGGAAGCATCTACTTTCGAGTTGCTCTTAGCTTTGTCCAGGTGTGCTCCTATTTTTACACAACTTGATTCTTGCTTTTTAAACTCAAGTTTTCAAGTTGTACATTTCTCCATGTTGCTGAAAGGTCTTGAAATTTATCCTTTTAAAATGTCATGTCTGGGGCACCCAGATGGCTCAGTCAGTCAAGGATCCTTCTCTTGGTTTTAGATCAGGTCAGGATCTCAGGGTTGTGAGATCAAGTCCCACTTCGGGCTCCACACTCAATGGGGAGTCTGCTCCAGATTCTCTCCCCCTCTCTCTCTGCCCTTCCCCCCCACCCCTGCCAAGCTTGGGTATGCTCACTTGCTCACGCTCGTGGCCACAAATAAATAAATAAATCTTTTTAAAAAGGTCATGATGTTCCACTAAAATGGACATGTGTAATTCAATTAAGCATTCTCCACTGGATATTTATGTTGCCTCCAGTTTAGATTATGATGCTCCCTCTTCGTGCCTAGAAGCTTTTCCCTTCCTTCGGATTCTCTCCTCAGGGTATGTCTCTGGAAGCATGAATAAATATATTTATGACTCTTGTAACAAATTGCCAAATAGGTCTTCAAATGCAGTGAGCTAACTCTCATGCCAGAAGGTCATGAGTCTGCCAGTTTCACTATTGCCTTGTTATTCTGGGCGTGTGTTCCCATCTGTTTCTGCGGCAGACCCCTGCTGTATCTCCCTAGTTCTTTCAGGTAGGAAGATGTGTATGGCGAGGAGGCATGTGGTTCTCACATATTCATAAACCCTCTAACCCTCTAACCAATGACACAGCGTCCCTGGTACTTTGCTCTTCTCCTCTTCCACACCTTTCACTCCAAACCCACTGGAGGGGATGTGGCCGCTCCTGCCAGCACTTCTGTGGCCCCACGCTCTCCCCCTTGGAGCAGTTATCCTTGATGCTGTTGGACCCTTAAGGTATCCAAGCCACCTGGTGGCCCATGATGCCACAGATGGAAATCACTCCCTTCCTCCCTGTTATGCTCTGCTTAAGGGTGTGCCTGTCCCAGAGCATCGCTGCTGGGGTGCTCGGGCTCTGCCAGAGCTGCTGCTTGTTAATTACCTCCCCCGTCACAAAAGGCTCAGATGTGAATATACTAGGGGTAAAGTGGGGGCATTGGATCGTGACCCCACCACGCTGGTCCCAGAATTGTCGCGTCTCCCTTCCTAGGATGCGTTTGTCCCCAGGTGCTTCCTTAGCCCCTCCCAGTCCTCACTGGAGGCAAAGGGCCAGGTTCTCTGCTGAGTCACTTGCAGGTGGTAAGTTGCAGTGAGACCAGATGCTGGCACCGCCATCCTGTGAGGGCCGATGCCGATGCAGCCAGGTGCCCTGGTCACTCTAACCTCTTCCCAAACTCCGTCCATTCATACAGACAAGAAAGGCCTCGGGGGGGTGTCCTCCCTGAGTGTCTTTCGTCTGGTGTGGCTCCTGCCAGGGCCCTTTGGGGTTTCCCAGTCTCTCCTGAGCAAACATGGGAAGACCTACTGTATTCATCCCAGAATGACTGTCCTTGCTGCACTAGTGACCAGCTTGTGTTCCGTCTTTCTGGACTTGCTTCTATGAGAATATCTCTGATATCAACAAGTACCTGATGTTTGTTCTTCCTCTTTATGATAGACCCTCCCAAAACTCGTCACGCCCTCCTGCATTGCACGTTACCCTGTAACAGGCTGAGGGCTGCTCTGTGGCCCAGTGTGGCAGGTGAGGGCAGGGGCAATGCCATGATATCTAGCGTCCGGGGGACCTTGAGATCCTAGAACTGATTAGAGGTCTTTGGAGAAGGAAGTGGGCGGTCTGGCTGGCCTCTATTTGATAGGTCACTTAACTATGGGACTTGGGCCCTAGAGAAGTTGATGGAATATCTCTCTCCCATTTTTACATACTTTCTACCCTGCCCTATTGGACCCAGACAGGAGTCCAGAGAGGGCTGGGCGAGGAGGCGGGCCCACGTGGCAATGATGGTGTCAGAGCCACCTCTCCAGGCGCTAGGGCTTTGCGCCTGAATCAGGCTTGTTTGCCTAACTTCCTCTTCCTCTAGGGTGACCTTCCTCCTCCTCAAAGACTCCTTGGGCCCTGGGAGGCCTTGACCACCCCCACTCTGTCCCTGCCAGACATAACTGAGATCCTGCTGTGGGTGCAATTCAAACTGGGGACCAGCCCACCAGACACTCATGACCCCCAAATATTGCATATTGAACTCCTGCCTAGTTCAGTAAGTGAAACTATTTGCTACTGTGGACTAATGGAAATCTTCATACACAGAAGAGAAATAATAGTGAAATCAATCCCCATACATCCATCACCCGGCTTCGGCAGTTAGCATCATCTGCCATTCTTCTTTCCTCTATTCTCAAACCATTTTGATTTTCTCCCTTTGCTGGGATATTTTAAAGCAAAGTCCATTTCTCTTGAATGTTACTTATAGCTCACAGGTAAGGACTTTAAAAGACAAAACCATAGTCATACCAACAGAAGTAACAATAATCCTTTCTTGTTAGATCTTAAATTTGGAGGGCAGATGATGCTGCATTCACTGTTTTGTTGTACTTCATTTAATTTGTGTTTCCTTTAGCGTTTTCATCTTTTGCTTTCTACTTACATTTCCTTTTGGGTGAACGCTGTTTTTTGTTAAGTGTGCTCCTTTGTAGATGGGGTGACTGACGTGCACATCTGAGTCCCTCCTAACCCCTTATTCTCTGGATGAGGGGGGGCTCCCTCACTAAATCCCAGAACTGTCCATTTAGGTGTAAAGTTGGGTTGTTATAGGGGTGCCTAGGTGGCTCAGTTGGTTAAAGCCTCTGCCTTCAGCTCAGGTCATAATCCCAGGGGCCTGGGATCAAGTCCCACATCAGGCTTCCTGCTCAGCAGAAATCCTGCTTCTCCCTCTGCCTTTCCCCCTGCTCATGCTCCCCCCCTCTCTCTTTCTATCAAATAAATAAATAAAATCTTTAAAGAAAAAAAAAGAAGAATGGGTTGTTGTAGGACGGAAGCTATACAAGGTTTTATCCATGACATGAATATGCAAGTCTTTTCACTCTAAAGGTTGACAGGAATGAGAAACAGTAATGGATATAAGAAGGTTTTGATACATTCTTAAATTCTAGTACTAGAGCACAGGCACACTCAGGATTCAGCTCTAATGTTTTGATGGAGTAGCATAGAGAGAAAATTGTAAACTCTGTGTACCAGTCAAGGGTGGCATAGGAACTTGAGGGAACATGGGGCTGATCCCATGTGGTTTTCTTGTGCTTTTGGAAAAAAAAAAAATTCCATGATCTTATTACTTGCAAGTTGCCTTTGGCCTTTCTTGTTGAGGTTTCATTGTTTTCTTCCAGTCTTTCCCTCTCTCAGAGCTCCAAATGTGAAGGGTAAGTTATGCCAGAGGCATAGGAAACTGGCATATTGTCGTCAGTAAATGCTTTTCAGACATCCACTTTGAGTGGGACACTGGAGAGATACATGTCTTAGGCTGGAGGTCAGGAATCTGGGGATTGGGCCCAGCTGGTCTGTTTTTGCTGAGCCCCTGGGCAAGTTGTCCATCTGTCTCCTGTTTGGATCTGAGTTTCCTCATCTGTTGGACTAGAATCAGGAAGAGCCTATGAGGTTTTTCACATGACCACTCTGATAAATTGGTAGAGATTGCTTGGTAGGCTTTGTTGAGAAGGATTATAAGGCTGCCTGCAGGCTCTTAGGATATATGGCCATGACCCATGGGTGATGCCTGCCATGGACCCTAGGTAGGGAAGCACTAGTGTGATGGCCATGTATTTCATTCTCTTGGAATCAGATGCTTTTTTACACTTAGGTTCTAAAATTCTAGTTCCTGGACTTCTTTCAAGACACGTCTCCAAAGGCAAGGGAAACAAAAGCAAAAATGAACTTTTGGAACTTCATCAAGATAAAAAGCTTCTGCACAGCAAAGCAAACAGTCAACAAAACAAAGAGGCAACCCACAGGACGGGAGAAGATCTTTTCAAATGACACTGTAGACAAAGGGCTGACATCCAAGATCTATAAAGAACTCTTCAAACTCAACACCCAAAAAAACAGATAATCAAGTCCAAAAACTGGGCAGAAGACATTAGCAGGCACTTCTCCAAAGAAGATATACAAATGGCTAACAGACACATGCAAAAGTGTTCATCATCATTAGCCATCAGGGAAATTCAAATCAAAATTACCTTATACCAGGTAGAATGGCAAAAACTGACAAGGCAAGAAACAACAAATGTTAGAGAAGTTGCGGAGAAAGGGGAACACTCTTACACCGTTGGTGGGAATGCAAGTTGGTGCAGCCACTTTGGAAAACAGTGTGGAGGTTCCTCAAAAAATTAAAAATAGAGCTACCCTATGACCCAGCAATTGTACTACTGGGTATTTACCCCAAAGATACAGATGTAGGGAAAAGAAGGGCCATATGCACCCAGGTGTTCATAGCAGCAATGTCCACAATAGCCAAAA